AGCTTCTTCACGTCATGCCTGCCTATGTAACGTTCACCAGCTGGAGTGCCCTTGAGAGCAACCAGAGGGCTCGCCAAACCAGACTATTGTCATTCCCTCACAAACTACATCTCCTATAACTCACTGCCCAAACTCTTTATCCATTATCACATTATCTAATTATATCATCCCATGAAAGCCTGGGTTTCTCATTCATTATCTGCTTCATTATTAGCTTCTTCACGTCATGCCTGTCGAGCCTGAGCTCTTCACATCAGAAGTCAGTTCTGGAAAAGACAGCACTCATCATAGTCGACACGGCGGTTTTTGAGTGTGTGGGCAGTACCCACATTGGCTCTAGTTCGGGAATCCTTGGCCAAGATGGCTGCCAACCTTTCAGAGTCTCTCGTCCCGTCATTGCTGCTCTTCCAGTGTCTCGTCCCATCATGGCTGTCCATCCGCACAAAAGTGCCTGGTGTCTCAAAAACGCACTCCCTAAAATACATTCTAAGGTGCAAATGATTATCTGTTATTTCTGTGCAAACCTCAAATACGCAGATGGCGCACTTCATGTGTTCAGTCCATAGGTATGTGCGTGTGAATATATGTGCACAGGTGTGTAGTCCTACTAAAACAAAAATTCCTCAACAAACTTGTCTGGTCTTAAAGATGCATAATACAGAATTTTTTTCTACCTTTGACAGAAAAGGTTGATTAGAGATCGGCCTGTAAGTGACTAATTCTGTAGGATTAAGTTGCGTTTTTTTTTTAACAAGCGGTTTAATCATAGCCATCTTAAAAGTTTTTGGCACATATCCTAATGACAAAGATGAATTAATGATATTAAGAAGAGGATCTATGACCTCTAAAGCATCTCTTTCAGTAGTTTAATTGGTATAGGATCTAACATACATGTTGTTGATTTAGATGATTAAACAAGTTTAGAAAATTCAACCTCTCCTATAGCTGTGACAAAGACCAATCAGACACAATTATTTGTTATGGTTAACAAATAATCTTTAAAGCTCAACATCCCCCAACGATGCAAGAAGGGCTACCAGGACTGCGATCAGATAAGTTGGTTTTATTGCTGTTAAAAATGTGGTCACATGTTCAAGACTGAGACGATGAGGAAGAAAGAAACAGCCTTTAAAACAGACTTTCCTGCATTCAGTTATCAATGAACTGATTAACATGAAATTAACCTTCATCCCAGAACAATTTGTGAATGATGTACTGTCTTATGTTGTGTCCTTTAATACTATTATCCCTTCAATACTATGTATTTTATTATAGAACAAATGGTCAATGTAACCTCACTTATTCCATGTTTGGTCTATAAACTGGTACGTTGAAGATCGAAATGATGTGTACATGATATTTCGATAGCTGTGCAATATTAGTTAGTACCAGAATCGTTCTTAGTTTCTTCATCATAAACAAATCCAGCTGCACATGCAAGTGAGCACGCTTAGGACAAAGACTCATAAATTAACCACAGAGTGACTTTCCCCCTCTGGAATTTACACCCTTCCCATTGGTCAAGCAAACCTGGTTGGGGTGGACCCTTTACACACTTTAAAGGGACATTCACAGAAGTCCTTCCCTCTCTTGGCCTTCTCTTCTACATATGTGCAGGTTGCTGTCCTGCAGGGCTGCACCAGGCCCCAGACCCCAGGGCTGAAGGCCTTGACTCACAACCAGCCATGTGCTCATTCAGGAGAGAGAGGACACTCTCAACCACAACAGAATCAACCTCAGGAGTTTGGTACAACGTCTTCGTTCAAAACAGAAGTCGTCCATTGCAAGTCCAACCATTTGCTCTGCGTGTCCTCTCGGGGCCAGGGTCGGCAGGCCACAATCTGCCCTCCAGCCATGAGAACAGAGTCGATCTACCCATACAAGTTCCTCATATCTTCTTCATCCAAATGAGAATAAAATGATCGCAACTTCACCATCTGACATTCATGGAACCAACAAGTTCAATTTTCAACAACTTCAAGAATTGTTCCCTCCACACAGGCCATGCAAGTATCAATTTAATGAGAAGCTCTGAAAATGATAAGCTGGTGGTTCTTTTCACAGTAAAATTAATCTCCTCTTTACTTTTTCGTTAGTTGACACACTGTTTCAAATAAATATCGAGGGTTTTGCTTATTTTCTTCTAATAGGGTTAGAAAAATGAGCAGATCTAGCCGTTTTTAATGCCTCTCGGTATGCAATCGTGCTTTCTTTCCACTAAATGCGAAATACCTTTAGTTTTGTTTTCAAATAGTATGACATTGAATATTACTTTCAAATAGCAAGACAATAAATTATGTCAGGTTGTATTTGATTTACTGATATCATAATTTTGATCAATACTCTAGATTCATCGTTGGATTGAAAAATGCCAAAGGATGTGACTTCAGTAGCGACACTTATAACAAATATCCTAAGATTTAAACATTTGAATAAATAAAATGTTTAAATTCCAAATAAAAAGTAAATCGACAGTAATAAACGTGCATTTGCAGTGAAAAAATGTATTTTCTCTCATTAAACAAGATTTATATGGTCAATTGCTTGTTAGGGTTACTTTGCCTAAATATTTGGCATATATCCAATCAAAAACATCCACTTTGTGTCAACCAGTTACTTCTGCTCATGTCATGTGACCTTTATGCAGCATGTCAGAAGAGGTAACACTCAAGATCTTTGATTATAACATCGACAAAGAGGATACAGCATGATTTGTTTTTTTATATGACTGCAACAATTGGGTTTGTCTTTGTAAGGGATTCTCTAGCCACCCACTCCTGTGAAATGTACACAAATATTTGGCTAACGCAAAGATCATCATGTGCAATGATTACTGACATGCCTAAAAATAGCACCTTCCCTTTCCTTCTCATTCTTTATTTCCTCCCACCTTTCCCTCTCTCTCTCTCTCTCTCTCTCTATGCCTCTGTCTTTTTCATCTAAGCTCTCGCTCTCTTACAGCGCTCCACAAACACACACACTCCAAAATTTTGCATTCAGTTGCCAAGCAACACAAACCTCAAAGGACGGGGTCTGCCGTCTCGTCTTTTTAAAGGAACAAAAACAATGGTGAGGACGAGAGAGAGACAGAAGGGGGAAAATGAAATTGATCTCAGACTTATTACATAATCCCTTCTAATTACTGAAGAACATTTAAAGAAATTGCACCTATTAAACATAATATTGCTCAGCTCTTATAGACGAGCAAAAACACCGTATTTGAGATTTCACCAGATACCAGATTTTCACTAGATTCCGGGAGATTTTAAAGAGCCCCTATCATAGCATTTGAAATGTTCCTATTTTTGTTTTAGGAGTTCCCAAAAACAGTTTAACATGCATGCAAGGATATTTATTTTTAACTGATTTGCTCACCGACTCCCAAATGATTCGTACAACGACTCATTTTTCCAAACCACTCCTTTGCGTGACGCTAATCGGCGGTGATTGGTCTGATGACAGACCCAGTCAGTTATTGTTTGTTAGCACAATAACAGCGACAAACATTTCACATATTTAAAAAAAATTGACATTGGAGACCTAGAAGCTGCAATGATCGTAACTTACACACACACACATGCGCGCACACACACATACTTATTGCGCCTTCCCTCCTCGCACCCGACGCTAAAAAACCGTTCAAAACCCATGAAAGCAACAATTATTAATAATACTTACAGGTTGTGATTCATAGGAGGAAGCTGATCCATATACACTGGGTAAGTAAGTTTACTGAGCCCTCCTTCAGGAACAACTGTTTGCGAATCCACATTTGAATTAATTTATGTTTTTGAACGATTCGTAATTAAAATGAGAAACACAATCGGGCTATACTGTTGTGGTCTCGTTGCAAATATGAACTCTAACCACCGATTCTTCACATGCTCGTCCCTGGTAAATGAAAACAAAGTGGTTGAACTATCTTTGCATTGTAGAACACAGCGTCTTCTCGACATGATGCTATGATGAACATTTGAATGTGTAGACTTCAAGTTTACTCTTCCGTCTGCACGCGCAGTAACTGGGTGCGGCCAATATGTATCTACGTCACGATGTAACAGCTAATGACTCGTTTCAAAAACAATTCATTTCAGATATAAATCTTTGCAGAATGTTTTCATTCCCTTAGAGTTATATTCCACACCATATGAACAGTCATTTTCAAAAATCCATGATAAGGGCTCTTTAACTAATTTGCAGGCATCAGGGAGACGCTATCAATATGCGGGAGACTCCCGGAACTTCCGGGAGACTTGGGATGTCTGTAATGCAGTAAACAAGCAACATCATTGAGATTTTTGTTGATTACAATTGGTGCAATGTTGTTTTGTTGTGTCACGTCAAGCTGCTTGCATGCACAGGGTAAAAAAACAAAAGAACTGGGTCATTCATAGAGCTCACGCATTGCAGTGTCTCTTACTGTGCAATGAAAAAAAAGTGATATTGTGCCTTTGTTACCTTAAAGAGCTATTTCAACCTGATCAGACCCTAATGACGTGAATAGATGTAACCAAATGTAGTCAATAACTCATTTGTGCTAACACACTTTGATTTGACCTATTCACTAGGGAAATCAGATTCTCTACATCAAAAGATGATCTAATTATGATCTACTTTATCACTTATTTGAAGACTGCACTTGGGAAATAAAGTGTGCTTAAATGTATTGAATGAGCACTTGTAGTCAAATCTTAAGAGTATATTTCTTAAAAAAATAAAAAAAAAACTACATGCAGCAGCCACTCGGCTGCGCCTTGGTCTGTTGTCGCTCTACCTACACTACAGACTTCGGCACCCTCGGGTGCACCTCATCCCTCCACTCCTTCGTCTCTGTTGGGCTCCACCCTCCCTCAGGGGTCGCCCTGGTCTGCCAAAACCCCATATCCACTTTCCACCTTCACTTCCACCTCCCGCAATCCAGCAGCTCTGCCTAGAACTTCCATTCATGTGGTGTCACACTGGACCTTCGCCCTCTCGGCTCCTCATGGGTCTCCACTTACCGCGGCCCCGGCTCTGCCTGCATTGGTCGATCCCCAGATTTTATCCGGACCCTTGGCCAAGGCTTCACCCTGGATCCTCCCTCCATTGGCTCTGAAATGGGATCTTCCTCTGCCAGCTCTTCCAGGGTCTTGTTTGTCACCAGCCTTATGTCCATCTCCAGAGCTCCCACCCTCCTTCCACCACGGGACTATTTACGGCACGAGAACATGCCTTCTGGGAGGGTAGTGTAATGTCAGGTTTATGTTTTGTTTTATGGATGATATTCTATATTGTTTCCTCATAGTTCCTGTTTCCCTGCTTTGTTTAGTGTCAGTTTTGTTGGATACTATGTCGTGCAACCTGTGGCATGACAATGACACTGTAGATCCCATCAAGCCAAAAAACTTTGTTTTAAGTCATATGCCAGCCCAACAAGAAGTCAGCTATTTATGGTTGTTTGAAAAATGCATGCTCTGGAATTTGACATACTCCTCCTAGGTGATTCATCTGATCACCACCAAACTCCGTCAAAATGAAAACAAGTCTCTAAGGATGATAAAATGCAAAGAGAGAGAAAATCGATTTACACTCTTTATGGTTTAGAGTTTAATCCATTTCATTGTGGTGTGTTTTTTTCCTGCATTACAGGATAAGAAATTACAAAATAAAGATTTATAACCAGTTTAACTAAAAACACAGTTTTATATAATTAGTTTAATAATAAGGTTAATAGAAATTAGGGGTGTAACTGTACACAAAACTGACAGCTCGGTACATACCTCAGTTTTGACATTACGGTTCGGTTCTAGAATGCTTTGGAATATGGGCTGATGTTTGGTCTTGTTTTTAAAACATCAAAAAAAACAAGGTCACAATAAACAGCTCACAGTAACCTGTCACTCGTAGTGCATAACATAACAGAGTCCAACAGGAGACAATACTGAACGTTTTCAGACATAACATTTTCTAACTGAAACATAACATTCCGCCCACATTCCCCAGTGTAACTTTCACCTGCTACATAGTCCCCATGCCAGACAGGCAGGACCCTCATTCTCTGAGGGCGCGCTGGCCGTGAAGCTGTGTCGGGCAGTGCAGATGTATTACCTCCCAACTGGCTAGCTCTTGGCCTGGGCTGCCACTGCTCATGACAGAGGTGATGCAGGGGCTGCGATTCTGTGCAGGCGGTTAGAGTACCAACAAATCCCATTCCCCAGTCTGTAAGTGGCTGGCCTGAACTTCTGTGTGGAGGTGTTTGATTCTGACCCAAATCCCTGCAGAAAGTGAGAGGGTCTGCACTTTATGTGTGGCATCAAAGCTCTCTTTCATCCAAGCCTGCGAACCTTTCACCTGAGCTCTGGCTTTCTGGAGCCCTGGACTCCCACGTGCAGGAGCTGGCTCTGCTCTCAAACAGTTCAGTGGTTGCTTTAGTTTACGCCTAATTCCTCCAGACAGGCACATATTCCATTTTGGAGAGTTTTATTCAGTCTGAGGGGTGAGGGGGGCAGTGGCAGGCTGACCAGTTTTCCCACTCAGGAGGCAGCAAGCGCAGTTACGTACCAGCTCCTCAACATCAGAGTCTATGCAAGGCCACCACACTGTGTCATGGCAGAGCTGCTTCACCTTGACCACCCTCAGGTCCCCTCATGTGCCATGTGTAGTACTCTGGACCTGAGAATCTCTGGAATGACCACACTGACGAGTTTTGAGTTGCCAGCAGTACCGTCAGCGCTTGGTGGTCGGTGTGGATTGAGAAAACCCTCCAGTTTAGGTAAACATGCCAGCGTTTGCATGCCCCAGGCAGGCCAGGGCCTCCCTCTCCCCCACTAAATACTTCTGCTCTGCTAGAGTAAGTGCCAGTGAGTCTGGGAGAGCACAGCACCTAGTGCCACCCCAGAGGCGTCGCAAGTGACCATTGTGGGCGTGGTCAAGCTGAAATGGGACAGTGTGGGTGTGGAAGTGAGCTGCCCTTTGATGATGCACACGGCTTCGTAGCAGGCCGGGGTCCAGTCCCACTAAACATCCTTCCTGAGCATCCGGTGCAGGGAGGCCATTGAGTCAGAGTAGTGTGGCATGAATCTGAGGTAGTAGGCATCCCTAAGAAGGAAGACAGTTGGAATGGTGACAGCGGGTCAGTCAGGGAAAAAAATGGCCTCAGTTTGGGACATAATCAGGGCAATGCCCTCCTTCGAGAGCCTGAATCCCAGGAACTCAACCTCAACTCTGGACATGCATTTCTCAGAGTTCAGTGTGACCCCAGGCTGTTAGAAACACTGAAAGACCTGCTCCAGGCGATCATCATGCAGTGCAGTGGAGGGCGATGCACCACTACGTCATCCAGGTAGATGGAGACACCCTGGATATCAGCCAGTAGGAGTGACATTGTCTTCTGAAAACAGCTCAGGCTGATGAAAGTCCAAATGCCATGCGTTTAAATCTGAAAACCCAGGTGCGTGACAAACACTGTGCGGGCTGGTGCCAGAGGGACCTTGAGGTAGCCATTACGTAAGTCCATCTTACTGAAAACAGTGGAGCTGTGGAAATGGCTAGTGAGCTCTTCAGCCGTAGTAAGGGGATACTTATCAGGGACGATGGCTTTGTTTAATGTCTGTGAGGTCGACACAGAGTGACAGTCCGCTACCCCTTTTCTTGGCAATCATGAATACACCGGGACATACACCACTCTACACTAATTTGAAAGTGATTGCAGTACCAGTTTTGGCCACAATCTTGCATATGGCTCCTTTAAAGGTACAGTAACCTGTCACTCGCAGTGCATAACATAACACAGTCCAACAGGAGACAATACTGAACGTTTTCAGACATAACAGCTGGGTTAATTTTTTTGACCCTGGAGGCAAGTTGCAAAACCCAAGTGCCGTTTATTTACATCGAAACAAAGACAGGGCATGGCACTCCGAACACAAACACAAACTTACCCACAGAGTTTACACAAGCAACACTTGACAAAATAACAAGGCAAACATGAGGGCTTAAATATACAAGAACTAATTACTAAATATGGAAAACTGTGCACATGATTAGACAATAGACCAATGACAACATGACACATTCACACACATTCTCATGACTCTTACAGGGAATCACATGACAATACAGGAAACATGACCGAGACATGTAAAAAGAACATGAAACAAA